TCAATTCTTGCAAGGGCGTCTTTTTCTTGTGAATTGTAGACTCGGGATCTTCTAGTGGTGGCACCAATGGTGTGTTTGAGCCTCTGGTCATTAACTCCTGCAACTTGCTAAACTAAAACGTAAAACTGGACTAAAATAAGAAAAACTAAAAAATGAACTCTCAGATTTCACGTCGTGAGTGTACTAAATCTCACGTCGTGAACTCTGTGCCAAACAGAAAAAATTAAACTAAGATAAGCTAGCAAAATAAATAACCAATTAAACTTTCTGCAGATTTAAAAACGATTAATCTAATGCAGCTAAATAAACTAATAATCTGCACCGTTCCCCGGCAACGGCGCCAAAAACTTGATGTGCACAAAAGTACCCACTAATTTTAATATTTATAACCTAACAAACTTAGACTAACTATACACTTATAGGCAGTGTACCTAGTCAGATTACAGTATAGCTTAGGTAAGTCGGGTGTCGATCACAGGGAACGGTGTTACTAATTAATCTACTTACTATTAAATTAACCTAATTTATTAACAAATTTAATAAGGGGTTTTATCTGATTTTGCAAGATCAGATGAACTTAAATCAAATTAAATAAAAACACACTCTTGCTTAGTTGAATCCACTTCTTTCTTATGACTAGCTAATGATTATGGGTTATTAAGTTGGTTTTTAGTTATATTAGTAATTTAGTTCTATCTTACCAATAAGTAACTAATTCATGTCAAACCATGTATGTTCACACATAATTAAACACAGAACTAATTATGAATGTAAATATGTTATGTAAGATTTGTTGTATAAACGCAATTATGGTCACAATTCACGTTCTCTAGCACAACTAAGATTTATTCAGTTTAATTACCAACTAAGATTGGTCAATCCTAGCTCTAACAATTTAATGTTCACTAAATTATTAGGTAAACAAGTTCATGCAGTTTCATGGTCACTAAGCTACACAGAACATGCAATCTAGCAATTAGATAAACAAATAATAACATGCTAGGTTATACAAATCAAACACAAGCAATTCTTACCAACTCAAATTAATCCATAAACATATAGCTATTCATAAGTTCAGAGCTTCATCCAGCTAAGCAAGAGTAGCTAGATTCAGCTGCTCATCATAGTAATTAAACTAACACAGCTAAAACTAATGAAAGACATGTTCATAATCAACTAAAATATAAAACTTTACTTCTTTTGGTGTTGAAATCCCTCTTCCAGGACCTTTCTTCTCCTGGAACTCCTTTTCTTCTGCCAAAAGTCTACTTTTCGTAATAATCAGGAGGACTTATATAATCCTCAAAAACCCGCGCCACGTCGTGGCCTGATGCGCCACGTCGTGGGCTTCAAGTAAACCGTATCCTTCAAGGAAATCCTCCGTGTCGCGATGTTTATCTTCTGGAACACCCGTGCCACGTCGTGGGCTTCACCGCCACGTCGTGAATTGAGCTCTTATCGTGAATTTATTATTTTCTTGTCTTCCAAGCCTCCCATGTTTCCCATTTTGTCACCTCTGGTCCCTCTCTTCGAAAATCCTTTGTATTAACTGAAAATAACAATTTAAACTCATAAATATCATTATTCTGAACATATTATCAATTTATTAATAAAAATGTACTTAAATACTGCCTAAAAATAAGTATAAATATGGCAATATCAAATTTCATCAATTAGATTCTCAAATAATCATAATATTATATATATGTCAACCATATAAACAGATGAACTGGTGATTGTTATTTAAAAAATCCTAAAAACATTTGAAGACATTATCTCTTATACTTATTTTATAAAATTAAGTATTTAAATATAACTACTTAATATTATAGAATTATTACAATGCACATAGAAAGCCTTTTTTTATATTAGTAGGATGTGTGTATGTATGTATTTGTTTTAAAATAAGTTATAAGGTTGAAAGAGAAGTATGTTACTTAAAACAAGAGTAATAAATGGTATGTAGAGAGGGGATGGGGTCATGATGTCTTGATAAAACGCAACAAATGGAAATAAACCCAATGCAATATTTAACATTTAGCATCCAACACCTTTAGAATTACTCTTTCGCCCCCCAACACTCTCACATGCCTTTGCCCTCCCCTCTTGCTCAACTAATAACATATAAACCACTTGAATTAGGAGTATCTTTTAAGTTTGAATTTATACAAGTGATATTATATAATTTTAAATATCTGCATGGATAACATAATCCTTTTCATAGACTGTGCACATATTAATTTAGCCGAATATGAGATACTCTTTCTTAAGTTACATATTAATTTGACTGCTCTCATACTAAAATCATTTACCTGTCTACTAGAGTTTTTCCCATCATTTTTAACAAGGTCTATGTAAATTTTACCTTTTTATATATTGGCTAAGTCATAAGTGTCCTAGTAAAAAATATATGTTAAAAGGTTGATACAATGATAAGACATGTTAGATCAAAAGCTATCAAAGTTAGATCTCTACGATTATCCACTATACCAACAATTAATAGTTAATATAAAGCTTGTCACTATTATGGCCTAACTAATATGGGCATTTATCACAAACATATAAGATCATTCTTTCTAACAGCCTAAAAGGTTCAGATTTAAATCCTGAAATATGGAATGACTTATTACATATGAGAAATAAATCAATTACCTAAATTCACTTTTAAACATATTAACTATCTGTTGTTTAGTTTCTTTACAAAAACTAAAACACGACCAAAATTTGATTAATACAATAGATAAAGAAAAAACCTATACTAATACTAAATAAAGATTCATTCTACCACATCTCATTCTGTCATTCAATTTGTTACATCTCATTTTGCCATAATTTTGATATATTTATTGTGCACTTGTCATTTACTTTATTTTTAATTTTTCAATATATCATTAATTTAGTTTTAATAAATTAAATATGTCATAATGACTATTAATTTTAAATTTTAAATTTCAATTTCTAATAAATTACCGTTTAAACATTCATATTTAACAGTTTGTTATAATTAACTCGTTTAATAAGGGTTAGTACACGAGTCTGATAACTAAACACGTAATTTTAATTTATTTATTTTTCGCATATTAATTTTTTTTAAGTATTTTTCCACATAATTTTCACTTATTTCAAATTTCAAATTCACATAAACTTTCCGTTTAATCATTCGTATTTAACATTTTGTTTTAATCAACACATAAAGTATACGAATCTCACAACTAATTGATAATATTAACAACCCACATTGGAAGAGATTTTATTTTTTCTTAATTTATATTCCGTTTTAGAGTATGCATGTGATCTATGAATATGACTTTCACATCCACTAATTCACAATTAGAGAATTGGATCCACTAATTCACAATTAGAGAATTGGATGTGGGCAACAAGATGCAACACCAAGTTGTGTCATCTCACATATCACCTAAACAAATGGTGTTATAACATCAAGTGGGGAAATGGGCAACAAGATGCAGCACCAACTTTTTAACAATAAATATGTTTTATTTTTATATTTTTTTTCGAAATTAGTTTTTTTTTTCTTTTTCGTTTTTGTTATTTTTTTAATCACTAAAATGAAACATAACATCTAAATAAAATATATTTTTATAGAACATAATATTAAAAAAACAAAAAAGACATAATTTTTAAAAATCTAAAATTATAATTATAATAAAAACTACATTAAAAGACAATATTAATTAAACCTAATATATAAACATTTTACTACGATGTAGTAGTTTTATTCAACACTGAATCAAATCGCAGCAACTCCCACGCTTTCTCGAACGCATATATATGTCCCATCTCGATCCGATATTGTTCTTTTGCAGTGTTGAACAAATCCACGTCATTGGTTCCGCTTTGTTGTTGCGTCTTAAACTGGTTATCAATGTCGTTGACTTTTGTGCACCGGTTGCTAATTTGAATCAATTTGTTACTAAGCATGTCTGTATTGTGATTTTGTTTTTTATTCAATATAGTGTGAAATTTTTTGCACACCGCCTCCCAATAAGCACATTTCTTCACCCTATTTCTACGATATTCGTCTTTTGAAATACCACACCATGCTTGCACCAAAGCAGTTTCTTCATCTGTTGTCCACCAATGTAGAGCTTCCTTATTTTCCATGTCAACCACTATAGCTTTCCCTCTCTCTCCCATTTGCGTTTCAACGGATGGTTGTGTTGGAATGTTTGAACTTTGCTACATTTTATGTTGTTGAAATAGAAGTATAGAAAGAAAGAATGAAGATGTGTATAAAATAGGTGAGAATGAAATGTATTTATAATTAGAAAAAAATATTTTTTTTAATATTGTAAATGACCCCAAATTGGCAACGGTAAAATGGTAACGTTCCAAAATTGCGCGTTTTATCGTGTGGTAATGGCAACGACTTGTGTCATAACGAGAAACAACGAGTAGGGGGCGGTGTTCCCCTGTCATTACGCCGTTTTGAACGTCCAGCTCAGCCTCCACGAGCACGAGTACAACCCACACCGAATACTCTTATAGATAAGCTAGATTGAACTTGGCTTCGAAGGACTAAACGTATGTGTGAATTTGCATATGGATAATATGGAAAAGAAAACTCAAACACAGACACGCATACATAAATGTATGCATACATATATAACTACTTAACCGACTATTAAACCTCGGTCATTAGTTTTTTCATTAGTGAATGGTTAAAAAGTCTCAACCCGGTCCTGGGAAGGTGTGTGAAATCCTCTCAGGTCAAATAATTTATTTGATATATATATATATATATATATATATATATATATATATATATATATATATATATATATATATATATATATATATATATATATATATATATATATATATATATATATGCCAGTTTTTAAAGCATCCTATATATAGTAACCTTTTCATTTGACACCACACCACCTTTTCTTTCACAAACTCTCTCTCTCTCTCTCTCTCTCTCTCTCTCTCTCTCTCTCAATCAAAAGGCCTAAATAGTGACAGAATTTCCCAAAATGGCCTTGAAGAAGTCATCAAACAAGCTCTCACAAGCTGCACTTGTTAAGCATATCATGAAGAGGTGCTCAAGCTTAGGAAAGAAACAACATTATGATGACGTACCCAAGGGCCATTTCGTCGTTTACGTTGGTGAAAACCGCAGCCGCTACATCATACCAATTTCATTCCTATCGAGGCCCGAGTTCCAAAGTCTACTCAGGCAAGCGGAAGAAGAGTTTGGGTTCGATCATGACATGGGGCTAACCATCCCCTGTGAAGAAGAAGTCTTTCAATCACTTACTTCACTGCTTCGATTCTGAGTGAATTAGCTAGATTTACTAATATTATTTTCCATTTTTTTTTTGTTTTACTTCAATTACTTATGTTAGATTTACTCTAACCATGCTTTAAGAAATTATTTGAAGAAAAACCCAAAACATGAAATGGGCCTTTTCAACTAATTTTGTAAATTCTAAAGCATTTTTCTCACAATATTTTTGATTCTTTTGGCTTATTATTTGAAACTTATATTTGTCCGTTAGTCATTTAAATAATGTTAATGGCCACTTAATTACCTTCACCTAGCTTCGAAAATGACATTCTTTCTTTGTGTTAGACGATTAGAATTGCAGCTATATATTTTGTAAAATTAATAAACTTAGTTAGGAAAATAGATTATAATTGAATGTTTCTGCTAACCCTAGGGAAGCATAGACATTGTAGACTAGTTCAAACAAAGATGATAGATATGAAAGTTGTGGAAAAGAAAAAGTTAATTAGATTAATATATCTTTAGTATGTTTATTTATAAATGTAAACGAGTCGATCTCTTACACTTCGTTTTTCTGTGCAACTTAACGAGAGAAAAGAAATGAAATAGATGGAAATGATAAGAATTTTAAAAAAAATGGTGTTTTCGAATTTCATTAAAGGAAGGAAGTGGAAGGAAATGAAATGATCACTTTTTCTCCTAACTTTCCTTCCAATTGGGAAGAATTTTGAAAGAAATAACAAAATGATTAATTTTCCTTCCACTCTTCTCCAACTCGAAAACACAAAAGAAAACCTTCTTTTCCTTTCCCTTCTCTTCTTTTCCCTCCTTACATTATTTTTTTTTTCTATTCTTTGCTTAAACTCGGAAACTAAGCATTAGTAAAAAATTAACAACAAAATCTTCAACATGTTATTTTATTCCTATGCTATAAGGCTAGAGGGAATGGTGTCACATTTGTTAAATTAAAAGTATTGTCACATACATGTTATTTTATTCCTATGCTATAAGACTAGAGGGAGTGGTGTCACATTTGTTAAACTAAAAATATTCTCACATAGGCACGACATAGGATTTGTCACGCTCTTCAAAATTGTCATTTAGAGGGCACATGCCACTTTTTTCATGCTATTTTTTTAATTATATTTAATTTATATAAAAAATAATCAATTTAAACAAATTAACTTTTATAAAAATTTAAATTTCATTAACTTGAAAGGAAATTACAAACGCACATAAAAAAATATGTCTTAGAAGAAAAACACAAGACACTTTAAATTAAATAAAACACAACACACTTGAAATTAAAATAAAACATAAGACACGTCAACTTAAAACAAGCTTCAAATTAAAACAACACATAAGAAAACTTCATTCGAAATATTGATGTTGTTTGTCTGATCTACTCATAACTTGTCAAAACTCTACAAACCAGAAAAGGTTTGTTACTTTCGGCACAGAAACTTCGAAGAGCGTTAGGGAACAACATTTCATAATTTTCACCATTTGCAGAATTTTGCCTTAGCCTACTATAATAATGTGAAACTATACCAACATTGCATTTGTTGATCTCCATTTGGCAAAGATTTAATTCATATTTTGTTGGCTCCCTACAGCTACATCGTAGTTGTTCCGTTAGGTGATCCTATTCCATAAAGAATTCTCATCTAGGTGGTTGATGTGATTCGGATATTCACTTATATAGATCTATGCGCGAGCAAAATTATCTCTTCATCTTTTATAACATCTAAATCTTGGTGCTATGAATTCTAAAAGCATTTTTGGATTTTTGGTTAGCCACGATGTGGCAGTGCGTTATTGGGGGTGTGCATCCTTAATGAGTGCCACGTCGTGGCACTATTTTGGCCATGTCGTGGCATCTATTTTATGTAAAACCCTATCTCTGGGTTTTTGCCCCTATTAAAGAGATGTGATGGTTAAAGTTTTCACACCCTTAGTCTCCATCACCCACCCTCCTTCTCACTGTCATTGTAGCCCTAGCCTCCATTGTTGAAGATCTTAAGCTTTAGTTGGTATTTTGGTGTTTTGAACAAGATGGAAGCACACTTGGGATGTAGATCTAGCTTGCAAGCTTCATCATTGCCTCCGACCTTATATTTTAGACCTTTATAAATGGTCAAGATTTAACCTTTATTGCTTTATGTCTCTAGATCTAGGTTTTTTTCCCCATTTTCTTCATGATGATGTAGTTAGAGTTGGAGGATCCCATAAAGTTAGAAACTTTATGGATCCTTATGTTCCTTGATGTATCATATACTACAGATCTGAAGTGTGTTGTGGTTTTGGAACACCTTGCATGAAATATTGGTGTTTTCCTTCACTTTTGACCTAGCTTGAGCCCTAGCCATGTATTGGGCATGCATAGCCAAAAAGTAGCAATCTTTAGGACTTAATGGTTGTTAGGAAGCTTTCTAGAAATGATGCATGGTTGGCTTAATGATTGGGGGGGGAGGGTGAATCCATTAAGTTGTGAACATTCATTGTCCACGGCGTAATAACCTGTTCACCACGATGTGGTGTCTTGGGTGTTTGCGACCGTCTTGGAATTTTTTTCCAAGGTGTGGCAATGGATGTGGCAATGGTTTTCCTTACGATTGAGAGATTGGTTTGGGACCAAACTCATTAGCCACAATGTGGCCATTGCTTGGCCATGACGAGGGGCTAGTCGAAGTCAAACTTTGATTGTTGACTTTTTAACTAGATTTTTAGTATTAGAGTGTAGACTAAGGTGAGACCTTGTGTGATTCAATAGGTGGGCAGTAGCATCTATTTCGTGAGGCTGAGCTTAGATTTGTTTGATCCTATAAGAAAAGTAAGTATTCTCACTATACTATGTATGATACTAACTGTCTTTGTAACTCTTGCATGTGTATGTTGGTTTGGGACCTTTTAATATATGTTGGGTTGGGCCCATTTATATGTATGTTGGATTAGGCCCATTTTGGATGATTGGGCTTATCCTATTTGTATGTACATTGGGCTGGGCCCAATTGTATAGTATGTAGTATTTTGGGGAACTCACTAAGCTTTGTGTTTACAGTTTGTGGTTTAAACATTTTTCAGGTACTTCCAATTACAGGTAAAGGGCCCGGCTTGACTGCACAACACCCCTTTATGATTGATGCATCAAAGATTATATTATTCTGATGATTTTGATACATTTTCACTATGATTGGTTTGGAAATACATGATGTATGGATTTGATGATTTTAAAAATGAAAATTTTTATCAGTATTTTTGAGACGTTACATCTTTGCTCTACATACGATCCTTTTTTAGAGATGAAGAAGATTAGAAGATGATGGAAAATATAAAAGGGTAATGATTAAGGTTTGAATGTGGTGAAAAACAAAGAAGGATGTTGGTGTTTATAGTGGATGATGTAAGGTTTAAATTTTGAAAAGTTGAAAAAAACGGTTGTATTTTGAACTCGGCAAGCCGAGTTGGTGGCATGGTGTTTATTGAGGCCAACTCAAACATGTCGAGCCTTTCCATAGCCCACTCCTCCAACCCAAAAGTCATTAAAACAATATTATTTTGGTCTTGAACATATAAAAGCAATATATACAATTATTTGTTGTTTTCCTACTACAAAAGTCAACAATATCAAAAATGTTATTTTTATTGGTTTTCTATATTATGAATGAGAGAGATAGAGAGGGAGATAAAATCTAAAATGATAAATTTTATTGGTTTCCTAAAGAGAAAAGAACAATAACAATAACAACCGTGTAAATTCCATTAGAATGGGATATAAGTGATGTATATGTCAATAATCAAGCTTCAATGAACCTTTATGTCATATATGTAACGTCCCAAATTTTTCTAAGTAAAATTTCATTCATTCATTTCCAAAACCCAACACATTGTGATAATGTATAAAATAGTTATAAAAGTACAAATCGTGTCATGACAGTGGAATGTTGGTAGATATGGTGCGATCATGCTAGACCTTTCTCTTTCGAACCGGAAGTACCCGAAACCTTAAACATAAAACTGTAAACACAAAGCTTAGTGAGTTCCCCCAAAATATCCCATACAATACATATCTCTTTTAACTGGTACTGAGAGTATTTCATCCCCTTTGGTCTCTTTCAATCGGTATTGGGTCTATTTCACCCCCTTTCGGTCTCTTTCAATTGGTATTGGGTCTATTTCACCCCTACAACTAATCATACAATCATATTAGCAAGAGTAACATAAACAACAGGCATATATAAGCATAAAGTTAAGTATCACAAAGACAGTTATCATTCTACGAACATAATCTAGTGGGTCGACATTAGAGCCTTCGACCCATGAGTACATTGAAGCAACTCGCATCAATTGGTCAATGAACAAATCCTACTCTCTCTTGGCATATTGGATCTAAAGGCTCTCCTACTCACATAACCAAACCAACCTTAATTAGGAAACAATAAAATCTCATACTCTGCAAGTCCAACTACTAATGTAAGCTCGTAATTCGGAAAAAGACCATTTTGCCCTTTCGAGTCCTCCACTCTTCAAAGTTTATAAAAAGTCAACCGGTTAAACAAAAGTCAACGGTCAAACACAGAGGGTCGTTTTCCATGCAAGTTTTTCGTAGGTTTCATTTTTGGCACACATCAAGGGGGATTATTGTAAAGATTAATCCTCGGGTTCTAATCACCCTTAATTAGTTTTATAATCATTTTTTGATTATAAAACAAGGGAATGAAGAGTGGGTATTCGAAGCTTCGAGTATTCATTTGCAGATTTGAAGACCGATGTTACTTCGACGGGGAGTTTGGTCTTGATCGCGCAAGCTCGTTGGATATTGGAATCGGAACATCCAATCCTAACTTTGAGGGAGAGAATGTTAGGGTGCAAAGTCACCCTTGGATGTGGAGTGTTTAGTCTTACCCTCATGAATGTGTAAATAGGTTGAGTCTTTCCTATAATTAGGAAATGAGTGACTCCCATTATGTAATGATTGTAAGGAACCATTTAGAAAGCATTAGTTTAAGAGAGAGAATTTAGTATACCTATTTGTACTCTTTTTAATTC